AGGGGAGAGGAATATTTAAAAAGCAAGACGGCAGGTGCTTATCAATTCCATAAAGCTCACCCAGATCATTTCCCAAACCTGTCCAGGCTGTCCCAGCCTCACTAGGTTTGCTTTTGGTTTTATTTTTTTCCGCCCCCTTCTCCGGCTGGCTTGACCCTCCCGAAGGCAGCGCCTTTCCCCCGGTCAGGAGAAGGACAAATCGCTGTCCCTGCTGCAGGCTGGGTGGCAGCCAGCTGGCAGGGCCGTGCTGCCCTGGGCTGTGCCCTGTGTCCCCGCGGAGCCCGCACGTTCCGAGGCGGGGATGGGAGGCAGCGAGCGCTGCGCTGCGCCCGGAGCGCACCGAGCATCATCACCCTGCCCGGAGCAGCGAGGAGTCCCTGCGCAGGGATTGCTGCTCCTTTAACAACGTGGCGTGTTCTGAAGAGGAGACTCTGGTAGCAGAGCCAAAATACACTGAGTGCACTTGCTGGTCTGGCTCCCACTGAGATTAGAGATCAGGCTCTGAGAACACTTTGAGCCAGCATGTCTCTGCTGTCTCCTCTCCAGGATGTACAGCAAAGGACACGTACTGTGCATGCTCTGGGGGTGGAAACGTGCTTAACACTCTATTTGTGTGAACAAAGCTGGCAGCTCGGGCGGATATTGTGGAGCAAAGAAGCTCTATTGTGTTTGCCAGTCATCACGAGAATCAAATGAACAAATTTAGAATAAGCAAATTGGGCTGGAGCTCCTTTAGCAGAAAAGCACTCAAAGGCTAGTCAGGCTTAGTGAGAGAGAGTATGGGATATTCTTCCTGAAATAATCCATAGTAAACATTGGGACAGCAAAATGATCTGCTAATTTTGCTGTTCGTGTAGTTGCTCTGTCTTTTAGATCACGTATTAAATCTGAAAAGGTAGAAGATAAATTACCTGTGCCTCTCCAGTTGAAAAAAAATTACTGAGTGATACAGTTCAAACCACATGCACATTATCACCCAGGGAGAACTGTGCCCCAAGCCAGGTGAGTCCCTTCCCACTGCCAAGAGTCACAGAAGTAACAAAAACAGATGCAAAAGAAGAAATTGCATCTAAACTTGAAGAGATTCCTTGACAATCCCAAAAAAGAGGTGTTGAGTACAGAGAACTGATAAAGAAGGAATGACTGAAGAACACAGACCACATCACTAAATGAAGACAGAAAAAAAATATCAGAGACTCTGGAGATAATGGAACACAAACCTTGTAATTTGGGACTCAAAATACCAGCAAATTCACACTCCTCCCATTAATAATCTAAAATTAGGCCAGACCATGTTCCCATTGAAAGCTGCTCTGCCTACTTTTTTCAGCTGGGAATCACAAAAGGTGTTGGAGCAAGAACAACAAATATTTTCATGATGGTACAACTTTGCTCTGCGAAAGCACACTTGTGTCCAGGACTGGGACATGGGAATACAGAAATCTGTGCCTGAAAACCTCCAGATCACATAAAGGTTTCAAAAAAAAAAAAAGATTTTAAAAACCTTTAAAATACCCCATAAAACCCTAAGACACTGTCAGAAAACAGGCTTTTAGGGAAACCAACTACCTTTATTCTCAGAAGTTGGGGCATGTCTGTTAGACTCATGTAAACTACAAGTTAGGAATAACAGGCAAGCTCCTGTTTCAGTGCCTCAGACCTGCTGTGATTTTGCTGGGAAAAACTACTCACACATTTTGTGTAGTCGCCATGGCTACACGGAGAAAGGCTCCTAAAAGTTCCAAAGCCAAGTGTGGGTGCTGGAGCTCAGAGCCCCTGCCTGCAAAGCACCATGGCAGTGGCAGCCCACCCAGGAAAGTCAGGAATACCCTTGGGCACAGAGATCAAACCTGCAGGGATGAATCCCAGCCCCAAAATAATCCTTCATAAGTGAAAGAGCAGCTTATTTGCCATTCCAAATGCAAATTCTCCCCATGTCTTTTGCTAGGGCAAAGGAGGCAGCAGAGCATCATGTAAAATGCATTAACTGTCCAAAAATATTCAGAAAACCATCTTTTCTTTTCTTTTTCCTCATGGATAATGGATGAGCCCTGAGGTGGCAGTGACTTTCAGCAACCAACAGCTCAGACCTGGGCTGGGGTCAATAACCTAATTACAACAAGCATTTTGCTGCTTTCATGAGCTATTCAAGAGAAACACGAAATTCTTTGTGTGCCTCTGATTACCCCAAACTGTCAGTGGTTAATTCCAAAAGTGTATCCTCACTTAGAAATGGTAGTTCCACCACAAATTAAACTATTATAGCCATGAGTAAAATTAGGTCCCACATTTGTACTTTCTAAAATATCAAAGGCATGATTAGCAAAGTCTTTTGTTTAAGATCTCTAGAGTCCTGGAGGTAATGAAAACTGGGTCGAGGAGCAGCTTCTCTGGAAGTTTAAAGTAAATGCTGTGTTCAAGAATTACCTGCTCCTGTGACTCATGGAGTACTTGGTCTAGAGAATGGAACAACTAGAGATACCCAGAGCAGTCCCCCCTGCCCTGAGCAGAGGAGGAGGAAGGGGTGGAAAAGAAAGACATCACAGATGATTTTGAACAGTTTCCTGTTATGGCCCCTTGAAAGAAACCCAGCCGTACTTTCCCCCTGCTTTCTGTTTGCTGAATTTCTCCTGACAGTTGGCTCCTTCCCTTGCCAGAACCACAACAAAGGACGGCCTTGAGTTTCCACACAGGCCATTTTCTCCCTCTCTCGTCTCTGATCATCTCACAAAGGTATTATTGTTGCTGGCTCACTGGGGCTCAGTGCACCTGAGGCACATCAAAGGCACTTTTTTAATGCCCGCCTGACCACACAGGTCTCTCTCCCACTGCATTAAATTAAACTCGATGATTAATCTCTGTAGCCCTCAGGGTCCCTTGGTGCACACGGAGAGAGAAAATATATATTTCTATCAAAACACAAGTATAATATACTTTCATTTTATAGCCCTAATTAAAAAAAGGAACAGCTAATTTTGGCCAAATGCAGCTGCATATAGGTCTCATTAAAACACAAATACAACTGGTCTGTGTGCTCCACGTTCACTTCATGCAGCCTGTGCAGGTAAAAGATAAAAGAACAGAAAACTAAAATCTTTCCACATATTAGATCCAGAGAAGTTTAGAATTTGCTTATTGTCTTCTGGCTAGAGATTGTTATACCCCTCCCCGTGCAGATGGGTGAAGGCAGGCAGTTAAGGAAATGATTATAAAATGCTGAGTAGGTAGATTTAAGTAAAAATCTACTTAAATCTAGGAAAAACTGCACAAGCATCTATTCCTGAGTTTGAGCTGAACTGATGAAAAGCCTTAAAAGGTTCTGCCTCGTGCAGTCTGTGTTTGACTTTGGGGTTGTTTTGATGACAGAGCATCAACATGGATTTTATCACATCCCTTTTGCTACATTAGCATATTTAATGGAGCCACAACTCTCATGGTTGTGGAGACTGCACACAAAACGTGTTAATATTGATGTGCCATGCTCTAGTTTGGGAAGTCAAACAATCTACTGTTGTGAACTGGGTGTATGCTAGAACTTACCAATGCACAAATATCAACCATTAATAAAGAACCACACATATGTCCTCCTCCAGAGCTGGTTGTGCTAAAGGAATGAGCCAGAGCCCGCTGGCCCACTGCCAGCTACCCAGCACTGCCCTTAGACCTTTGGGGGAAGCTGCCTGTGAGCTCCTCAGCTCACTTCAGCCCAGTACTATATGTCTCTATTAACTCATTTTAACAATTTAAACTAACTCAGCTAAATTAAACAGGTTAGCAAGAGTTCACTCAAACAGCTCCTACTGAAAAGGCAGAAACCTCCAACAAAAAACCTGGAAATAATGGAAGCAGTGGCAGGGCTTGAAGGGTGACTTCTTCTCCCAGGGTGCCCCACCTGCCCTATGACAGACAGACAGGTACCAGTGGAATTTTGCCAAGACAGAGCAAGCTGAGAGTGATGGAGTTTGAAGCTTGAAACTTTTGTTTAGGAAGGAACCAAAACATATTCCAGTTGGTCTAGGGGATTTAAGCTCAATGCTCTGCTTCACAACAGTGGAATTATTCACATCTTCAAATTCAATCACGTGCTAAAATGCTTTGCTGAATGACAATCCACGTGACAAGATCACCATTTATTCATGCTCAAGATCACACTGGACTTGTGCTGTTACTACAGAGGCAACTTATTGCTAAGCCTGATGTTTTATTATCAGCCTCCTTCTTATTCTCTCCTAGAGCTTTCTCCATGAAGCACGCCATTCATCTCCAACACCTCTAGCACTCCCAGTGCCATTTGCTCCTTTTTGGAAAAATTCAAGTCCTAATCATGCTAAATTTAAGACCAAAATGAGTTTTAAATAAAAAATGTGGCAGAAAAGGGTACTTATCTAAATGGAATGCTCTCAGACTCATACATTTTAAAACAGTATAAATTTCATAAGCAGACACTAAATTTTAATTGCAATCTCAGAGAAAGCTTTTGTATTAATTCACTGAGAAAAATTAGCAAAGTGAAAACTGCTTATTGGGGGTTTTCTTTCTTTTTAGTCATGATATGTCTCATAATTCTATACACCATGGCAATTTTCAGAGGGAGAAGGATTTATATTGATTAAAGGATGAGGAGGGGGAGCAGAGCAGTGACTGAAGATGGGCACTCCTTCTCCAAAGACACTCTTCTGTAACACATTAGTGATAGGCTTGTCACAGATAACTCAGGCTCAGGCTTTGGCTCAGATTTCAGGGTGCTCTTTAAGCCACTCTGGCATCGTGGTTTTTACTTTCCATGTCATTTTTCAGTATTGATTTCTACTACTATTAAAGTTCTTGCTTAATAGCAAATGCATGGTAATTTATAATTAATATCCAAAGGTAAAGATAGAGTTACCAGGAAAAAAAATTCAAGGAAAAAAGAACAGGTTGAGAAGGACAAAGGTCCATTTTCCCCTCAAAAACATAAGTTAGTAAATTCTGCACAAATTAGGATGACACACACAACCTACCCCCATGTGGCAAGAAGATGTTCCACAGATCATAGCCACTCGAGATGTAATGGGCTGGTTCTCACACGGAAGGTTGTGTCCTTTCACATCTGCTCCAATTACTCCTATTAAAGTAAAATTAAAATTCTCTGTTAAAGAACAACAAGCCACCCTGCACCAAAAAGACCTCTCTGCACTCAAATAATTGCTGAGGATCTCACACCACTGCTACAAATTAAGAAAGTCTACTTAGCCAACAAAGGAAATAATTTTATCCATCAGATTAAAGTATTTAATCCAGATATAAGGACCCAGGATGATTTCTTCTAAATGCATGTCGATCATCATGATTTTTAAGTGCTATTTTACTTAGAAAATATTATTTCACCTGACATTTATTCTCTTAGGTAGCTCACTGACATGCAGAATAAAAGTGCCCTGCTGTACTGGCAGGCTGCAGATGTGTTTATTTGTTCACAGTTTATCATGAACATCCTGGATGATGTGTTTTGTCAGGGGATGACTTGGAGAAAGGGATAACTTGGCAGGAGGCTGGAAGGCTGCCAGCTTTGTTGTCTTCCCTGCTGCTGCTGTTCTGTCCATGTCAGAGCCATCTAAAGGCAGATTTTTCCTCCCCTTTGAGGAACTGAGCTTGGCTCTGAGGAGCACGGAGTCAGCACCCCTCAGCCTGCAGCAGCAAATACACCCAGGAGATGCCAGACCTACAGCTGAGCCTCAGAACAGATCCCATCCTGCTTGAGTCACTTCAGGGGAGGCTACAGAGGCAACCTGCCCTCTCCTCCTCCTCTCCCAAGCTGGCACCACATTGTGCTGCACCCAGCAAAATGCAGCAGCCAACCAGTAACACTTTTACATTGGACTTTTCTTTTCTTAAACATGGCTTTTCAGCTGGCAAGCTGGTCACCAGACTGTGCATTTGCATCTTCAAAGCTCAATTTGAAGAACACTATGTCAATCCTGATAAAAAAAAATCCCCTTCATCTCTCTGTAGAAGGATCAGGAAAACATTTGCTGGATGTTGTGGAAGATGCCAAGTGTAAGGGTTGGTTCATATCCTACATTTCATTAACACCCTCTTGTTTAGATCACCACTGCAATGCTCTGTTACCAAATCAGTCTGGTGGGATTTGTCTTACTGGGATCACTATGGTTATCCTGGGATCACCATGGTTGGAAGCCATCTAAATAATCAGGAAAATTAAGGGGTAAAATTTTAAAGTCTTAAAAAATCCATCCTATCCTCATGTCCCTTAAACTAAACTGACTTGTAACTATGAAGTGGCACAGCTGTCCTAAAGAGAGTTAGGAACAACAAAAAGCTAAAAGTAAGACTTCTACTTCATGTTTTATTTTTTCACTGCTCTAACACAATGAATGCATGTTAGGAATTTTGGATACGGCTGTCTACAAGGCAAATTCCTGTACTAAGCAAGACTGTATTAGCATTTCTTGAGTTAAAAATACTGTTCACACTTGAGAGGGAAGAAATCTATTAAACTAAATAGTCAGCATATGCTGCAAATGTATTTTCATAAACAATATAAAACTGAAAAGATCTTTTTAATTGACAAGAAAATACGCATTCTGCAAAACAGGAATTATGGTTCTTTTTTTTCAATTTTAGTCGGTGGCTTCACCAGTGTTTAGAATTCTTAGAGTCTTCTTATTTATGTTTAATTAAAGTCAGACAGCAAATAAGTCTGGAGTATTGGCTAAAAGTTATAAAATTGCTGTTTCTCATTCAGCTTAGGTGGAATTTTTCACAGTCTGAGGCAGACTCAAAAGCAGAGGCTGAGAACAAGAAGGCTGTGCACCACATAGAATAGAAGAGAGCTTTTTAGGAAGGCAAGCAGTGCTTAGCAATGTGTACTTCTGGATCTCTTCCACACTGACATGGTATTTTAGACACTGCACCATAAATCATCTACTTTTGTTGAAACAATGCTGATGCCTTTTAAAAAGGTGCAATGTAAACAACATTTTTATGAGGCCAACCCCACAAGCCTTGCCTCCCATCCTCACAGTTTTATCTGTACCCTCTCTGAAATTAGTTATTAGAAATTAGAAATGCAAGCTATAACTTCCTGGCTCTTTGATCCTCACTTTTCCATAAGAGGTATTAGATGGACTGATCCAGGAGTCACACATGACCTCCTCAAACATACACACTAAACAATTCTTTACCTTATTGCACTCAAAGCTTTGAAGCCTTCATAAACTTCAGGAACCTGCTCAGCCAAACCACACTTCACATGCAGCCAAGAGCAGATCTGAGCTGCATCAAAAGTTATTAACACTGCAAACAAGATGCCCATCACATCATTCTGGCTTAGCCTGTAGGATATTTTCTTTACAGATACCTGCATTCTTTGACTCCTTTTGCTCCTGCTGTCACTTTTGCTATCAAAATATTTTCATTTTTGCTGTCCTCTCTATTAAGTTTCCACACCATTTCCAATACATTTATTACCCTTCCCAGATTCAAGAATTAAGAGTTGCACTGTAAATCCTCCTCTTGTCCCAGACTGCAGTGAGCTATGGTGTGATTATCGTGCAGGTTCTCCCACTGTCTTCCCTCTGTAATGCCCCCCTCTCCTTAACAACAACCTGTGTGTTGGTTTTCTCCTCCTGGCAATCATTTCAGGAGTCTGCTGATGTTTGTGGTGCCATCTGGGAGAATATATTCAGATTAGCAAACTGACTGTGCACTGCAGCCCTTTCCTGAGGGATGCCAGCAGCTGGGTGTTTCTAATGTCAGAGTTTTTTTACACAAGTCTATATCAAGGAACAGACAGTTGCTCTCTACTCTTTTTAAAATTCAATTGCTTGATTTCAGCATATGAAAAATTGGTCAAATGTTTTGTGCTCTGGATCCATAATAATGCTAATTAAAAAACAACCTTCCACTGCCACTTTCATGTGCCCTGTGACAATCCAGTTTGGCAGCAAGTTCATTCTTTCAGGTCAGATTATTACTCTGTTCTTTTCTAATAACACAGAATTGCCAAGGCACACAGTTTTAAACACGTTTTTATGCAATTAGGATACTGACAGATATTTTTAAGTTAGTCACAACACACCTACAAATATGACACTGAAGCTCAGTCTTCATTTTAGCAGACAGATCTACATCTAATCTTTTCCAGGTAGCAAGAAAAGCAATCTCCATGATGACTTGACCCCACCAAAAGAAAAGTAATGGGATTTAAACACTAAAAAAGTTCCAGGTCACAGTTTCTAGAAGGACAAATGAGATTTAAAACAGCACAAAACAATTGAAACAAAATTGGTAGTTTAGCACCTAATCATATTTCAGTTAGGTCTAGTAAAAAAAAATCTTCTGATGAGCAATAGATTTCCATTAAAGAGTACTACTTCAATAACACTGAAACTTCCTGAGGTAAGTCTGTTTTCTAAACCAGCAAACTAAGAAAACCCTCAATTTCCTGCTGAAAAAGTTACACTGAATCTCTGTCTTATTGACTGTAAGGCCAAACAGCATAGTAAGAAAATGAACTTGTTTGGCCTCATCAAATATATTTCAGAAAAGAGGAACCAGGGCTGAACATCAGAATACTGTGCTAGGAAAAAAAAAAAAAAAAAAAAAAAAAAAAAAAAAAAACCAAAAGAAAAAAAAAAAAAAAAAAAAAAACAACAACCAAACCCAAAGCATCAGACCGTAAAGCTTTGAATCATTAATCACTTCCAAAGCTAGTAAGAATCCTAACTATGAACAAGCTTCAAACATGAGGCTTCTCCCTCAGAAAGGTTGTTTGTGTTTTTTTCTTGCCTATCCCCAAAGTTTTGAGCAACAGAAGATGCAAACTCCCAGCATGTTGGCATTCCAGCACAATGGTGCTTCAGTCAAAAATTGAACTAGCAGAAATGAACGAACTATTTACAAATCCAGCTGAAAAAATATATAACAGTGATATATCTCCTTTGTTGAAACTGACTTGCAGTACTGGTAGTTATTGTGATGATTTGGGGTTTTTTTAAAGAATAGCATCATAGCAAATGGCTGGATAAAAACAGTCTGTGACAAAAATGGCTTTCTGAAATGAGTTCAACAATTCCTGTCTCCAAGAACAGTAAATCCATGAGTGAGTACCTAGTCCTCCAGCATGTGCATCAATGAGAGATGCTGCCACTGCAATCCCTTTGGGGAGCCCGAGATCTTCCGCAGCCTCTGGTGTCAGACCTTTCCCAACAGCCTCTCCAGGAGACAGGACGTGGTTTCCTGGGCAGACACAAGACAAACCAAACACCTGTCAATTTACTAAACAGAAAAACAAATGTGTGTGTTATTGCAAGATCTCCCTTCCTCCCCCTCCAGTGAAGCCTCGTATGTATAAAACAAAGAGGTGCATCACAGAGCTCTGGGTGATGAAGTATCTTTCATTATCTGTCTGCAGATTAAACACAACTGTGCCAGATCAGGCATCCCATGGCAATTTAGAAGTTCAAAAGCATTCAATATCCTATCTAGCCACAGAGAAAGATTCCACCACAAGCAATTAAATTCTGCTTGGCATCTCTCCAGGATATATGAAATGCAGAAATCCCAGGTTCTTGTGGAAGGTGCTGCCTGCAGGCATTCTCTGGGCATGGAAGGAGATTCAGCTCAGTCTGCGCTCACAAATGAACACTGCACCTGTTGCACAAGGAATGCACAAGGAACTGGCCAATTTTTTTTTTCCATTTCCATCCTTTCCAGCAGTTCTGCTGGGAATAAGGTGGCTATAGCAACAGAAACTCTGAAAAAGAAACTGGCTTAAACAGCAAATTCCTCCAGTTGCAGCTGTATTTCCTCACAGACTTAAATAATCCCTTTCTGAGCCTTCTCTGGCCTGTGCAGTATGAAGAAGACAAGAACACAGCCCTGCCCTCCCTGCCCTGTCACAGGGAGCTCAGGGGCAGGTCCTGCCATAGCACAGACCCAATTTTGTCTGAAGAACAAATCTAGATTCGTTCAAGGACCAGGATTTAGGGACACCCCCAAGAGCCTCCTCTGAGCCTCCCACAGCTGGAGCAGTGAGACTGAGCTCCTAGGACTGCACACACTTCCATATTCATCCAAAGGTTTGGGGGTGAGAGGCAGAAAGCTCAGTGGGAGTTCCCACAGACCTCCCTGCCAATGCCAGGGCTTTTAGATCCCACCTGGAGTGCAATTTGCTAAATTTAACAAATCTGGGCAGAGTTGGTAAAACTCCTCTTTAAAATAAAACAATACTATTTTCACAGTAAATTTTACTGAGCATGTTACACCTGAAGCATGTTCTGATATGTAGAAAGGACATAAAACATCCTCCACAATAGACATTAACTAAGAGGAATAGCATATCATGAAGTATCAGGAATACACTAATTTCCAGGAGCATAAACTTCTACAAATGCAGTAATACAACCTTACTGTTTGATGAAAACATTATGATATTAAATTCATAGGTCTTCAATTTTAGATATTGATTAGATCTTTGCTGTAAATTATGTTGGTTCTTCATTTTTAAAAGCTACATTCTCCTTCTGCCCACTTCCTGATGGATGCAGTGTATGGAGCATTTTGGGATCAGCACAAACAACTTCACAGTTGCTCATTTCTCCAAGAGTTTCTGTTCTACTGACAGCCACACATCACTGCCCCTGAAATTCCAGGCCAAACCTCACACTGGAAATTTAAAACAAGTCTGTGCAGTCAAAACTGTTGCACTTGACAGCAGGTTTATATTCAATACTGGGGCAGTAAGCAACCTCATCATTACACTTTATACAGAAGGACATGAGGACATTAAGTAACCTTCTCATAGGGAAAAATGTTCCGTATTTTATTATTTCTGCATTTTACTAGTTACTTACTGTAAAGGCAAAGCATTGTCCTGGCTTTTCCAAGAGATGTATCTTTTGCTTTTTCCCCCCAATAAGCTGGAGTGTAGGATGTTCCTCTTTAAGAGATTTGTCTATTAACATTTCAGGTCTTTTAAGACATTGGAGAAAAATACCAAAGCTGTCTGCTTCTCCTGACATTTAAAGACCCTGTAGGTGGAAGGAAGTTCAAAAGAGTTCATGCAGCTAAAGCCACATCTTTCCTTCAGAATCAATTGCCTGACCTGAAAGCACAACCATGGTGTATATACAGCATGAGATTAAATTAATCTGAAATAAACTGTCTTTCCAGGCATGCCATTCTATGGCTGGCTAGTTTATACCAGTTATACCAGTCAAACACTTGAGTGTGTAATTATTATGTAGTTATACTCCATTTTAGAGATCAGAGCTACTATCAGACAAAAATCTTTTCCTGCCAGCTTCTCAATAACTGTATTTCTAGTTAATTAGCACTAAGGGAACAACTCCAGAGGTAAAGATAATCCTCTACTGCAAGAAAATGACCTTATAATTCCTTTGGTACTGGTTATTTATCAGAATGACCGGCAGCAATGGGCATAAAGTGTGTGTGAGGACATGCAGGGATGGGCTTCTTGTCATTTGGAGACACAGCGTAATAATCTTGTATTTTAAATAAAATAATTAACAGGAGTCTGCTGCATATGTTTTAGAAGTCAAGGTATGCCTGAACAAATATTCTTTGACTGAAAGCACTTCCCCACAACACGGAAGGGAGAGCAGTCAGAAGTCACCCATGGCAGGCACTGCAAAGGGGGGTTCTGGGTCACCCAGCAGCCAGGGAGTGCAGGACAGAGAAAGTGAGTGCACAAGGAGAGGATTCTCACTCTGCCCCTCTCCTTCACCCTCCCAGCTCTGCCAGGCCATAGGAAAAGTTCCCAAGGAGCTCTGTAGAAGGAAGGAGCAGGCTCTGCATGGGCACTGATTCTGTCATCAGCAATTTGCCCTCCACCTAGACAAGTGTAAGTCAGTGTGGAATGGACACTCTGAGCCTTCACTCAACCACATGGGCACAGACCTGGGAAGGGAATTATCATTCTCATAGTTCAACCTTCACCAAAAAGCTAGAAAACTCAGCTAAGCATCAGCATGCTTAGAATCTGTAAGTGTAAAGCTATTAAATGATAAAATAAGGAAGCACAAAAAGTAACCAATAAGGACACACAATTAAAAGTGAAGTTTTTGTCACAGATTGTATTCCAGTACTAGACTGGGAGGGAGCAGATTCTTACTTGAGCAAAACACTGCAGCTTTAGAAACCCAGGGGCAGCTACTCTGAACATAAAGGTATTTTACAGCTACACACCAGCAATTCAGCAGCAGGTGCTGCCACCCTTAAATCCAACCTCAGGGGGAAAGAAGCTGTTGGAGGGGAGGGAGGGAGGGAGGCAGAGCTGCCTGCACACAGGCACACAGTGAGAGCAGGACAGGCACTGCATAAAGGAGGCACTGAAAGGCCTGAGACTCCTCAAGGCTCCTGCCAAAGTAAATGTATCGAGTCTTTTGTTGACACTAGTCTCCTGTGCAAGTCATTTACCTTTGCTATAATGACTTCCAAAATTAGAGCTAACCAAACAAACCCATAATGGCCGAAGCTGGAGGACTTTCTGTTTCACATTGGTGCAGCTGTTTCACTAATGCAGTACCTTAATCCACAACCTTTCATTTGGGACCAGACAGGCTATTTCCAGCTATTTTTTTCCCTATAAAGCAGCCAGTTTACAAAAGGAAAAAACTGTCTGAATCTCTTCCTTCTCTTTTATCCTTCTTCGAAGACTGATGTTAGAGTTTGCTGCGATCAAGCTTTGTTTAAAGAATTTATGTGCTACCAAAGACCCTCAACCTTTTTAGGTGCTTCCCACAGGAACCAGCTATTTACCAGCCACAACACACGAGGCAGATAATGCATCTTCAGTCAACTTTAGTGATCCAAAATTCACTGTATTGGCTCACTAATATTTAACAGAACGAGGCACTTCAGGTTGTAAACCCTTTTCAAACAACAAAGCTGACAGCAGCCGGGTGCAGCTGACTCCAGCACATCTTTTCATCTATCTCGCAGAACAGGGCTGCACTTTGTATATTTGGCTGTGTAAGTGCATAAAAATATGAAACGAAGAAAATTCAAAGGAGATGGCCCTTCACTGAGGCCCAAACATGAATTTCGATATAACAATCCCTTGCTGAAATCCCAACAGCCTCAGAAAGAATCACAACCCAAGGGTACATCCTGTCCCCATTTCACAGCCCCACCCAAACTGAACAATTAAACTGCTTTCTGATTTAAAGGACAACACAGAAAACAGATATCCTGTAAAATAAGTGGTAGAGAACATGCAGTGAAGAAGTTATCTCGTTAAACAAAACAGTGCTGAACAGATATCAAAGGAAACAGGACCTGAGTACAGCAAAGCACTGTCCATCCAAATGTAATAAAAAATGTAAGGGATTTTCCCCCTTCATGTTCATTACAAAGCATGCAGATAATACCCACCTTTTGTGTTTCATAATAATTTTAACAATGCCAAAATTTGGAATATGTAAGGAATCTCAATAAATAACATACATTGTCTCAACCCTATCTCACACACAATGTTCTCAAATATCCCTCCCAATTACAGATAGTATTCACATTTAACATTTAAGTGAGATGTGTATGGCTGATTTTTCTACAATTTTTACCCCGGCTGAGTAGCCAAAACAGCACTAAGATCAGAAGGAAACAGAATCATGACGCTGACTGTAAAGTTATAATACTATTTTTTTTTCTTAGGACTGAATGCATGGTGGTTAAAAGATGTTAAGAACAGTGAGATTTGGGGCTTTTTTAACCTCCAAATAACCTCCATAAAACTTCCTGGTTGGCAGTTAAAGATTTCAAAACTTTCATTGAGGAAAACCAAAACAAATTGCGATATTATACGCCAGCTTATTTAAAAGTGAGGAAAATGGTTAAACAAAATCACTTTGGCTTCCTTTGGTTCAAAATTCATCTCTGTCTACACGAGCTGCCACAGTAGCTTGAGGCAAATCTAATTTGTGAACCTTTCCATCCCACTCTCCCAGAGAGCCTTTGGCTGAACTACATCTCGACTACCTAATGTGTAAATACTTCAGGCAGATGTATTAGGCTGCTAAACTCTGGCAAAATCAAATCAGGCAGATCCTGCTTCATCAAGCTGAGCAGCAGACTGGTCAGCAAACCAGAGGTGCCCACTTCAACAAAGGCTGCTTGGTCTTTTTGGCCCAAGGAATGAGAGCTGCTCCATGTATAAATTAGAAGCTTTCCTGGTGAAAGGTCAAAAGGAAAAAGAAATTCTGCATCACTGGATCAAC